AGACTAGTTTAAAAACATGCAAATAAGGAAAGGTACAAGAATAGCATAAATTAGAATGAACGGCTTAAACAAACACCTTGGCGCGGATGGAATCCGTTTGCACGTTCAGTGTTGGCTTACGCATGCGAATATACAACATTTCATTAACAAGGCAATCAAATTTGCCGTTACATTTCGCGATGACGTTGAATTGCTCGATCAAGCGTTCAGGCATTTCACTATTGTGCTGGAGGTGGTAGTGTTTGTAGATAGAAGATGATTTCCTTGTGTGCCCTTCTACGCGCTCGTGTAAGTGACCACGAGTATAGCCCACATACCCTGCATCACACAGGTTACATTTAAATTCATAAACGATACATTGTTGGTTAACAATAGGGGGCTTAATTTCGTGTTGCTTAAGCTGTTGATCGAGCTTAGGGCTAACGAACACTGGTTGGACAGTCACGCTTAACTTCGAGCTTAGACTGTTCAGTTGTTGTTTAACATGATTAGCTGACGACTGGTCCTTGAAGGGTAACACTAATCTCACAATCTCCGATGGTACGTCTGGTGATGGACAGGGCTCTGCAGATGAAATCCTTCTCTCAACGAACCGCTTGATTGCAGTTGCAACCAGTGGCTTTGGGTATTTCAAGTTATGAAAAACCCCTCTAAGGCGGTCACATTCCTCGGAGAAGAAAGACCAGTTAGAAGATAATCGATAAGCGCGATCCACCATGGTGTTAACTAGGCTGCGCTTGTACTTAATATCAACATGACTCTGGAAATGCAGAAGGAGACCCGTGTTGGTTCTTTTGATGTAGACCTTGCTCTCAATCTTTGGTGCACGGTTAAGCAGTTCAGTTCCTAGAAAGGGAAGGGATCCTTCCCGTTCGACTTCCATGGTAAATTGGAGGGAGGGATGGGTAGAGTTAAGGGTGTCTAGAAACTGGCCAGCGGTCACCCTATCAGGCATTACGGTCAGGGTGTCATCGACGTACCTCCGGTAATAGCGCGGAAGTTGACCGTGTTGTTCGAGGTTTTCCTCAATCGAGCACATGAAGACGTTAGCCAGCAACGGTCCAAGGGGAGAACCCATAGCGACTCCATCTGTCTGCTCATATAAAGCACCGTCAAACTGGAAAAGCTGGTTTTTCGTAGCTGCTCGGAGGAGGTCGATTAGGTCCGCTTTAGAGATGTTCAAGCTGTGCGTCTCGTTGAACCAATCCTGGGCAAAGGCTTTTTCAACGAACCGCTTGATTGCAGTTTCAACCAGTGGCTTTGGGTATTTCAAGTTATGAAAAACCCCTCTAAGGCGGTCACATTCCTCGGAGAAGAAAGACCAGTTGGAAGATAATCGATAAGCGCGATCCACCATGGTGTTAACTAGGCTGCGCTTGTACTTAATATCAACATGACTCTGGAAATGCAGAAGGAGACCCGTGTTGGTTCCATCTGTCTGCTCATATAAAGCACCGTCAAACTGGAAAAGCTGGTTTTTCGTAGCTGCTCGGAGGAGGTCGATTAGGTCCGCTTTAGAGATGTTCAAGCTGTGCGTCTCGTTGAACCAATCCTGGGCAAAGGCTTTTTCAGCTAAGATCTGTATTGTTTCCTCCAATGGTACATTTGTAAACAATGAGGTGACGTCATAGGAAACTAAAATTTCGCCGTTCTTGATCTCGAAGCCTCGTACTTCATCAGCAAAGCGGAATGTGTCTGTCACTGTATATTGGTTGCACGACAGGGGTTTCAATTTGTCGTCAAGCCATTTCGCTAGCGAGTAATTGTAGGTGTTAGTAGCAGAGAGTATTGGCCGCACGGCCAACTGTTCTTTATGTGTCTTCGGCAAGCCATACAAGTGTGCGAGTCTGGACCCTTTCGGGCGGAGAGCGTCAGCAATGGATTTCGGTAGAATCTTTCGAACGAGAGTTTCCAACTCCCTTTCTTTCTGAAGGAGAGGGTGGTAATACTTAGGAGGTCGTCCTCTGGTTCTCGGTCTCTCCGAGTCGACGAATCGGAATTTGCTGGTATCGTTTATTGACGCTTCGGATAGTAGGCGAAGATATTCTGATTTATCCATAACAACAACCAGTCCTGTCCTGTCCAACCAGTGTTCGTTAGCCCTAAGCTCGATCAACAGCTTAAGCAACACGAAATTAAGCCCCCTATTGTTAACCAACAATGTATCGTTTATGAATTTAAATGTAACCTGTGTGATGCAGGGTATGTGGGCTATACTCGTGGTCACTTACACGAGCGCGTAGAAGGGCACACAAGGAAATCATCTTCTATCTACAAACACTACCACCTCCAGCACAATAGTGAAATGCCTGAACGCTTGATCGAGCAATTCAACGTCATCGCGAAATGTAACGGCAAATTTGATTGCCTTGTTAATGAAATGTTGTATATTCGCATGCGTAAGCCAACACTGAACGTGCAAACGGATTCCATCCGCGCCAAGGTGTTTGTTTAAGCCGTTCATTCTAATTTATGCTATTCTTGTACCTTTCCTTATTTGCATGTTTTTAAACTAGTCTCTTGATAATGGAGTCACGATGACCCCGAAACGTCGAGTAATAAATCTTTCCTGGTTTTTTCTATGCCTTTGCTTTAGCAAATCCCTGCTGATCAAGTGTTTGAAAGACCTTTAACCATTATATGTTTAGCATTGAAAGGGGCCTCCTGACCCCTTTACCTGGGAACTACCACCTTCAACACCATAGGCAGCTGCTCATGGAAAAGGTTATTGAAACCCCTGGGTCTATTGTGTGTTAAATCATTGGTAAGAGCCAGTCAAAGGTTGCTACCACAGAGTCGTAATGTATATTTTAGTTAATGTACTTTTTCCATTTAAAGTTAAACACATTTGCCTGTCAAGAGTTTGTGTCAATTAATTACTCTCACTTCACAATAGAAATTTTTCATGCTTGATTTTATAGGAGTGTATTTCTAAGTCAGCCATACAAACCAAGTTTGAATCTCATGCAGTCAGTGGATTGAAAATTGCAAACACATTAAAGGTTCTTATGGAACAAAGAGTGGATTCTGCATCTCAGCAAAGGTGAGAAAGAGACAGATGATTTTTTTATTTTTCTTAATGATTGTGATTTTAGTTAATTGTCAGTTTTGCTGAATTCATAATTATGGTCTATTTTGCTCAGATCTAAACTGGAGGAAATCAAGAAGAAGCAAGAGAATAGACTGGAGTATGTGAAGGAACAGCTTAGAATTTATACAAGTGACACTGAACGCCAGATCAAGGAAATCACCTCTAAAGTTCAGAGTCAGGTAATAAAATAACTACTTAAATGTTCTTTAGGAGGCACAAGTTTAAAACTTGTGGTTTATTCAATCTTGAATCGCAGTAATTTCAAGTTTTTTACAATGTAAGGTTTCAGAACAGGAAGATCAAAAAGTATGTAATCAAATGGATGACTTTTTTTGACATGCTTCTCAGATGCTTGTCAGGTGCCTTTGATATGCACATCAAATTTACTTTGAAGTGTGTGGTAAAATCTTATCAAGAGTTTACCTTAATTTGGTAATTGTGAAGAAGAGCTCCCCAAAAAACCTGTCGGCCGTCTGTCGGCCGACAGGTTAAGAAAAAAGAAAAAATTGTGTTAAAAACGAACAGTTAACGTGACATAACAATCCGTAATGGTGATGTATGACTCGACAGACTTCACCTACTTACCGATCGACGGCAAAGTTGGTACTACGAGACTTCGTGGCGATAGCAGAGCTGAAAAAGGTCGCCTCGAGGGAACTGGACCTCGTCCTCCGCGACCAAGAAGTTCAATCGGTGCGAGATCTGGAGGTTGCCTGTCGCAAAAGACTTTGGCGCTACATCCCGGTCATGAGCAACATGAGGAGAGAGGGGCAGCTGTTGCCAATGAAGTTCGCGGCACAATTTTACGATTGAAATATCTTGTATATTTCACCACTCACAAAACGATTCCTTTAGGAGCCACCAAATCTTGAAAGTCAATTGTCAACGTATTAAACATGTTGGATGTCGTTTTCAAGCGAAAACCGAGAGAAAACATTAAGGTTTGTGTTAACGTTTCACGGACAAGCTACCGACAAGCTACCGACAGGTTACCGACACATTACCAACAGTCGGCCGACTGTCGGCCGACAGGTTTTGCCTGAAATATAGGCTACCTGTTGTTAAATATAGGCTACAGTTGGCCGTCTGTCGGCCGACAGTCGGTCGACTGTCGGCCGACAGGTTTTGCCTGAAATATAGGCTACCTGTCGGCCGTCTGTCAGCCGACTGTCGGCCGACAGTCGACCGACTGTCGGCCAACAGACGGCCAACTGTCGGCCGACTGTCGGCCGACAGGTTTTTTGGGGAGCTCTTCTTCACAATTACCCTTAATTTTACTGCTGTAGTTCCTGAGTACACACAGATATGCACCTAATTTGTAATAAGTATGATGACCTATAGTAATGTTACGATATAATCAAACCTACAGAAAAGCACTACAATCCCACAAACTCTACTACTTTAGTAAACAGCGAGTAATGTTCTTAACAAGGAGCTAATCCTAAAAGCAGTACAATACTTATCGTTAATAAACTTAATTAAGCCCACCACAGTCTATATCCTAGCTCATCACCGATACAATCTCACCGCTGTCTCCAAAGCTCCTTGAAATGAGCTATCTTCCACAGTAACTCTCTCTCTCGGTATAGCTTTCAAAACAGTTGTCGCTCCAACAACAACAACTACTCCTACTACTACTACATGAGTCTTTGTATATCTTCACAAAGTGTTCTGGGACATTCCAGAAGCTTAAAGGGCATGTAAACCCAAAAATACATGTTTTTCTTATACTGTGTAAAAAGTGGCGTAGAAAACGAATTTGAAATTCGTTTTGTCCAATTCGACTTATTTTAGGAGAAAATCGGCATTTTCAACTGAAATTCCATTTCCGGTAAAAACAATAGCGAGAAGTCGTGACGTAAGCGGTGGAACTAAAATATTGCGCAACCCATATTCCCCAATAGAACTGGTGTGGGAGTTCGTGTAAGTAGCGGTAGTTTGGAAGATATTTTTTCAGAAGATAGCGACTCTAATGCCTTAAGCTTAGTACATGACAGCGATGGGGATAATCCAGAATCTTCAGGAGAGTCTGGGCCACGTTCTTAACAATATGAGCCGCGTAGAGTTCACCGAAGCGATCCGCACGAAGACAGTACAGAACATGTCGACAGCGATGCGACCGTCTCGGAAACTCAGACTGGTATTTAATTTACTGTGTGATTTATTTGTATTTGACATGAAAATCCAATAAAGCGAAGGTACAATCTAAAAGAATGCAACAGAAATTTTTTAAACTTGAGCTTCTGAGAGTGTTTTATATAAAATTATCAAAGGTGCGAGTGTGGAACTTGTCAACCAATGCCGACAACTCATGAAAGTGTTTGTTGTACAGAAATCGGGCAATTGTGGCAAAAAGTAGAGTAGCAAGGGCCTGAAACCCAGATAAGTTGTATCACTGAGCATCCAGGTTTTCAGTCAATTTGCCTTGATTTCTGGGTGCTGGAGACGGCCAATTGCGCGTACAGGCAGCAGCAAGGCACAGATAATCACACCGGAAACGAGTAAGCTAAATGTTTTCTTTTTCATCTGTTTTGTTACATTTTGAGATCGATTTGCTTGGGTTGTTTTTGCCATTGACTTAATAATACAATACTAGAGCTAGTTGTTTTTCGCTTCTTTCCTGGCAGGAAATTTCGCTAAATTGCCTACAGATAGCTTATTCGTTGGTGTTGGGAATATCTCGGCAAACACTTCAGGGTCGCTGTGCCATCTTGTGCGTTAAACAATATTCGAAACATTTTTCCAGCGGATTTTGGATCGCCTTACACTGGATTAAAACCGCCAAACCTTTGAGAGAAATAAAGGTATATGTTAATGCAGATCTTAGTTATTTATGTCTTACAGCACTGGAGGTTATGCCCGTTCTTTATGAGTTATCTATGTATTGCTTTCCTTCATCTCCGAAGCATTTCTATCGATAAACAAGTTGTACCATATACATTTCCTTGTGAGGCCTTCATAATTATCCAACCCTGTTTGTGTTTGCTTCGATTTGAAATACTGAAAAGATAGTTTTGCAAGCTGAAATCAGGATCTTTTAAGTTGTACTCAAAATGATGAATATTGTCCTACTGACCTTTGCTTTGAATGTATTTTCCCTGCTGTGAAAATCGTGACACAAATTCTTCTGCTGTTTCTCTGCAGGGTTTCTCAAAGGAAGCACCAAGTGGGGCTGGCATGGATTTTCTTATAGAACATAGGGGTTGATAATGGGATCCTGTATAGAATTCTTTGCATCGAACCAACAAAATTCCAGATCACGTTATTACACACTGACATCAACGAATTCTCTTTCTTTGATACGTCTTTCGAATTCAGGCAAAGGATCAGAGGAGTCAGTGTCTTTTATGGGCTCAGCGCTGGCTCCCGAACAACTGGCTTCCCCATAATCTTTTATTAGATGAGAAAAAAGATGTTTTTAGAGAACCAATAAAGCTATCGTTGTTTAATTAACGAAACGTTTTCATGTAAATCGATTTTGTACTGTCTCCGTTGACCTCTAACTTTTGAAGAGCTCAACTTCTTTCTCAGTTCGGTCGGCCACTTCCGAATCCTCGTCGTCTACCGACTATATGGGTCGTTTTACACTTCCGAATAATTTGCTTCTAGTAAGGCCTGAATCTTCGGTACAGCACCAGGAAGAAAAATTACTGCTACAAACAATTTGTGAAATTTGTCCGAGTGAAAATAGCCGATTTCGTCGAGCCGACGTAATCGGCTATTTTCACTAGTATAAATTTCACAAATTGCCGCTTCAAATTTGCGTCATTTGAAAATATTTGCATTGTATGCCCAGTTTTGTTTAAATCAGTACAAAACTGGACGACACAACGCTTTACCATTACGAAAAAATTGAATATATTGAAGCAAACTGTAAGTAAAAAAATCATGACAAGACCGGCGAACAACGGCTGTAGAAAAGACTCCTTCGTGCCTCACGCGATTATAAAACAAGACTTTGTAGGGTCCACCCGTGACGTCACAGGAAAGATGGCGCCATTCAAGATGGCGAATGTTTCGAATTTGGAAGAGCTTTTACAAAGTGAAAATGGACTTTTGAGAAAAAACGAATGGTATCTTTGGTGTACTTGATATATTTACTAAACATCTATTTGAAAAGAAAATGAACGTTTTTTGGGTTTACATGCCCTTTAAAGAAGAACTATTTTAGTAGTATTACGTAATAAGTGCGTGACTTGATGAAATGTTGTGGAAGTTCTATGGTATGCAAGTCAGCATGACTAAGCAGTCTGGAGATCTTTAGAAGCTTATATTTTTAAAAATTACACATAATAGTAGTAAGGATGAACACAAATCGGGACACAATCGTACAGAACTAAACTGTCGGAGCTTTTCCCAATTTCCACACCCAGAGTATTGCTACTCCCCCGAGATGGGAAGTCAGTCAATCCCATGCTACCCGTCCCCCTCCCTGACAGCATTTATCCATTTTTACTCTTAAAGCCTTTCCGCAGCAGCGGACAGAACTAGAATTGTCCCGACAAAATCAAAGGACAAATTTTGTCAAATTTCAAAGCCGTCAGCGCCTGATCTGTTCATAAGACCGGCCAGCAAAGGATTCCACCTTCCATTTCCAGGATTTATTCTAAGTTGGTTTAAAATTTTAGAAACCCTGAGTGTTGCAACAAAAGACAATTTGTGCCTTTCTAGTTAACTGATTTCAGTTCAATAACACGCTGGTCGTAGCTTTTACGACAGATGAATGACAAGTTTATCACGGTTTTGTCTATTTGGTCGGTTTTGTCCAGTTTTTACCTAAGACAAATTCTTTTGGCGGTGGGTTTGAAGATTTGTCCCCTTCGGCCAGTGAGAAAGTCTAATGTTGCTTACTCGACAAAAATTTTCCTTTCTTTAGGTGACTGAGGCTATGACAGAAGAGATTGGTCGCCTGGGCTTGCTGGTGAATGAGTTCGATCATCCATTCCATCCTCATCGTAAGTTCCTCGAAACACACAAAAAGGTGAAAATTACATGCGTAAACAGTTTCATTGCCAAGCAACAGCTGCAATGGAAGAATAATCTGAAATCGAACACTATCACTCATTATGTCAATAGGAGCTGTACAATCACATAAAGAGTGGCTTGGGAAGGAATATGGCGGCTTGTTGTTCAAAATTTCAAACTCAGGTGATTTGTGAGGCACAAAAAGAAATGGCAGGTCAGTGTTCAGGAACTACTTTTGTAGCATGAGTGATGTGTGAATATGCATGTGTAGTGAATTGCCGGAATTATCTGGAGAAGTATCTTTAAAAAAAAACCTCGCATCAGTTTACAGAACTGGTCTAGCTAAAACCTCCCATGTTTTCCGCCATTGTGATCTTTCTGATCGTAGGTCACTCGCATTTGCACAAGGATTTTGACAGCTAGTTGTCAAACCTGTCAATTTCATCACGCCGCACCAATCAGAAGTGCCATTTGTGGGCAAACAGATTTTTCAAAAGCTTGGATTCGCTTGCGAGCCTTCCTTCCTCTCCCGACCCCAACCCCATCCTGCGACTCTTTTACTCTCGTTCCGCGCATTTCGCGCGGTTATGATATTAAAAAGTTCATCTCTCCTACTGGAACGCTTGTTACGGAGGCAATGCATTAGGGTAACAAAATAACTGAGGTAGAGTAATAACTGAAGGTACATCATAAAGTCACTTATATGAAAGGTAAAAAGAAGACGGGGGGAGAGGATTTAGGAGAGGATCACATTGTTTCAAAGGGGGAAAGGAAGGGCGGGGGGTTCAGTCATCATCGACAGAGTATAAAGTGGGACTGTTGAGAATTGACTGCCAACACTAATTTACTGCCAACGAGGGGGGGGGAGGAAATCATAAGAATATTACAGGGCCTTATTGGTCGAACTAGTAAATTTTATCGTGACAAGACCGACAGCCTCCGACCCCCACCCACATCCCCTCAGATGATAACTAATGACTGGTCCCTTAAGTACATATAAATATATTTTTCTTTTCCCAGATCGCCTTCGTTGTCTTCTGCCCGAAACACCAGAGGTATCTCTTGAGCCCGGCACCCCAGCGTGAGTATTGTGTCCCTTAACCCGTTAACCCTTTACACCCTAACATCCACATGCATATTCTCCATACTGTTCTCTATACATATCCTATGCTGCTGACAAGGAGAATTTGTTTAACAATCAAGAGCTTCTTTAGTTGGTGATCATTTCCTTTATTCTCATGACCTCAATGTTTGTTTTAGTGGTGATACTGGGAGGAGAAAATAGTTACTAATCACTCTCAAGAGTTCAAGGGTTAAACCCTAACATCAGTATGCATATTCTCTATACTGTTCTCCACACATTTCCTAATGTGCTGACAAAGAGAATTTGTTAAACAGTCATGAGCTTCTTAAGTGGGCGTTCATCTCCTTCATTCTCGTAACCTGGACGTTTGAGTCTCCGGTGATATTGTAAGGAGAAATTAGATGCTGATCAAGGGTTAAGATCTACTGACATCAAGACTATTGGCTTTAGGAAACCAGGAAGCAGACACTCCAGAGGGGAAACGATTAAATATCCGTTTTTGTTGTTACTAATTTCTTTATCTTGTTTGTTTATTGTAGTTTTGATTTCCAAGCGAACTTCAAACTGGATGTGCCCCGTCTGTGCACTGATTTTCGTGAAGATATCGAGTTTCGCTCCTCTCTTGGCTAGCAAGCGATTTTGAGGAAGTTCTTGGCGCCTCGTAATGCAAGACTAGCCATCGCTTTGGGAGCGAATGTAAGAACACTTCTTTAGTACTGGAACAACAGCTGATTACTATAAAATAAGTTATAACGTTCCCAACGAAACTAAGAAAACACATGCTTTTGAAGAATATGAGAAAAAAAGAAATAGAAGGAAAAATTGCTTTCAATTGGAATCGATCTTCAATCTTTTCCCTTGTGAGGTGAAGTGCAATCCATTGCGCCACAATTGTACCGAGGTTGGATGGATATTTCGCCCCTCGATAACCTATTTTCGAACTTTAGTGGCTCATGACAACTTCGATTTTATCTAAGATTCAGTGAAAGGTGCAGAGCTTGGTACCTACCGGACCAGCTGTGGTACTAGGGTTAGCTTCACCAGCGATTTCCACTGGTACACTGACAGTCATAGTGGGAGGACTGGTAAGGTTTAAAATATTTTATTAAGTTAGAGAACCTCAACCATAAAACATAGCGGTCAAACGTCGGGCATGCGCGAGGGGATCAATTCTTGCCGGCCGTGCTTCAATTTCCCGCATAAAATTTCAAATGAAAACATAAGAAACAACCGTTGTCTTGCAAAATAAGCGAAAGAGAATCGAAACGATTATAGAAATCTGCTAAAGGAAACAAAAGCAGGGAAAAGGAGCTTTTAAAGCTTTAAGCTTTTTCAAGTACTGGTATCCTGTTGATTTACCGAACTTTTTTGAGCTTTACCAAAAGAAAATGCTTTTGAGACATAACTTACCGGATTGTGTGGTTGTTGGTAACTCGTGTGAGACAACTTGTATTTGACAGCCTCAGAGCGCCTCACCTCGTCATGACAACCCTCGCAACGTTACAGATGTATGTATGCCTATGCGAAGCGTCCATTTCAGTTCGTGTTTCTCCAACTGCAGATTTGGAAGACTGTAGGATGGTGGTTCATGGCTTTGTGTGGGGGGTATACAGTGGAGTACATGTAATTGAGAGGGTATGTTGGACCAATGGTGCTAAAGAGAAAGCTTTCAAACGACAGTTTGTGGATTACTTTTCTGAAAAGCTTCAGGCAGAAGTCAGTGTCATTAGCGCCAAGTGCAGTGGACAAGTGCAACAGTAAGTTTGGCTGCCGTGTGATTTTTGAAGCGTCTGTGATGCGATTGTTGGTTGATTTTCTTTTACCCACAAAGCCTTGCGAGTAAAATTAGACGAAGTGTCATTCTTTTAACCAATTAAGTCGCACATTGTTCAAGAGTCGCAAATTTCCCCGCGGTTTACACTCGCTGTCTTGCCAATCAGACCAGGTGTCATACTTTTGACCAATCAGGTTACAGAGAATTAAACTGACGCAAATTTTCCCGCGCTTTACGCTCGGTGCCAAACATAAATTTGTTCCTCAATCGATTGTTGCCGCGTAACAGCACCATTTTGAGCCAAAACTAAAGCCATTTATCCCATTGATGCCTTTCAGCTCAAGTGACTGTCGTGTTTGCGAAAATGCTGTCATCATCTTGTTCAAACTCAAGCTCTCTAGCACATAGCAGAGGGTAAATTCACTTGACTTGAAACTTAATGTTGAAA